CTTGATGATCACATACAGACAGATCTCTGCCAAGCTGAGAGTAAACAAACAAACAAAAAAAAAAAAAAGAAGGATATGTGAGCACAGTTCCTTTACTTGTATCGCCGCGTACAGAGCCCGCCCTTAACACTTTCATAACAGCAGAGTCTAATTCACTTCCGCCTTGCAAGGCATGTGTAATACAAACTTTGAATTTTTTTTTAACCCTTCGGGTGAAATCATATGAAGTGGATTAAGTTTACTGTTAAATAACACAAGAGAAGAAATTAAATTAAAAAAAAATACAATTAATTTTTTCTTAGAAAACAGTTTGTATTCATGAAAGGACTTCACGTTAGACCAAACGGAACCTATATAGAATTCGAAGAATTTACTACGAATTTTTTCCTGGCATGAAGATTTCCGTTTTGGAAAGACTAATTTTTGAAAAAAGTCAGGGCTTCAAACAGTAAGCGTACGTCTGCAATATTTCGCTATTCATTCGGCTTATCCGCACTTTTAGAAACAAAGTTTCTAGCTTCAGTGTGTACTCCGTGATACCGTAAAATTGAGAAAACACAAATTCCAACATTTCAAGAATATCGGTAGTACAGCAGGATATTTTGAATTAGAAGAGAAAAAAAAAAAAAAGTAAAAATAAGTAAATAAATCAACACAAAAAATGTATGAAAATGTTATTCTTACATTGTTGTTTTAGGGTATATTGAAAGTTGCTGCCATCTCACAGTTCCTTACTTCTTGTATATATACAAGGAGATCCAAAATGAATTGATTGATTGATTTAAGCATTTTTAAATTCAAAGTCTAGCATTGGCATTTAAGACAGAACGAATCTCTTCTTGGTCGCCCATAACAGTTTTTATTAAAAACATTAAAAAATCTCAATTCATTTTGGAACACCTTTCCTTATACCACATCTTAAATTTTCCTCATTATTTTTTATTTTTGCTTGTTTTTTTTTTTTTTTTAATAAATACATGTTTTATTAATGCATAATTTCAAGTTGTTGTTTAAAATTATGCATTATTTTTTCTCTTTAACTATATTATTGTTTTTCTATTACATTATTCTCTTTTTTGCTTTTTTTTTTTTTTTTTTTGTCTGTCATAGGCACTAATTTTGTTTTGTGTTTTCTTAATATTCGTCAAATTTGATTCATCTCGTGATACTTTGTAAATTATGCTGATCTGCTGTTTTGAAAGGTATTGAAAAATATTTCAGAGTTTCGCAAACTACAATGTAAACGAGCGGACGTTTTGAAAATCGCATAGCCTACAACCAAAGCGTATATGGGTTGTGATCTTCCATATCGTATATACATCGTGTATGTTTCAATTTTGGGTTTTGGGAAATATTTTTTTTGTTTTTCGTACAAACTAAGAACTATAAATTTCCGCTTGATTTATGATAAATAAATGCCGGACTAAGAAGAACGATTTTATTAAATTACGAACATAATGCGAGGAGAACGATAAAATAATATTGTAATTGTGGATAGTTCGTCTATTGCGATCGTGATTGTGCTTATATGAAAAGGGCAGACAGATAGTTAGGCAAGCAGGCGGACAAGTCGAAATCACTTCTCCTGCTCACGCCAGTTAGAGAAACATAATCCGATTGTAATTTTACAATTCATTACAACTATTCGTGGTGTATACAATATGCACTTTGTGGTGGGCATGAGTATTTTGAAAACAATCGCTTATCGACGTAAGTTTACACAGTTTTAATTCAAAGAGAATAACTCTGAAATATTTATATAAATTTATTTATTTCTTTATTTTTCTCACTTGTTCTACCTGCGTTATGCTGAAGATTTTTTCAATTTCAATTTCAATTTTGCTTTTATTTCCATATTTCTTTTTTTATTTTTATTTTTATTTTTTTTTTCTTTAAATACTTGATGTTGTGTGTTAATAATGCTTAGTCGGTATTTATACATATACATATATATATTTATATATATATATATGTGAAGATATTTATTTCTTGTTAAAACGTAAAATTATTGTTACTCTCGTTTAGATACTTTTTGAAAAAGTTGTGGTTGTTTTTGTTGTTTGTAGAAATAATGATACATTTATAGTTTTTTATTTATTTCTTTTATTTTTCTTTATCTCAAATGTAATTACAGTAATATAAGCTGTAATGATTGTTAAGGTGTATGTTTTTAAATACTTTCTCTTAAAACTTATTTTTGTGAAATAAAAATTTTCAACTTATTTTTTAATTTGTTTTATTTGATTTTTTTTTTTTCGCAATTATAAAATATAAAAAATACTAAAAAAAATACTTAAAATTATAAAAAAAAAAATCATAATAAAATATTTTAATGTATAAAAAAGAAATTATAATAAAATTTATTATAATAAAGAATATATTTTGTTAATTAATAGCAAAAAATAAAAATAAAGTAAATTTTGTTTATAAAACGGTGGATGGTTCAAATTCATAATAAAATGAATTTTTTTTTTTTTTTTACAATAATTACACAAATATTTAACTCACGTGTGTCTTGTAAAACACAATTTGTTTTTATACTTAATAGTTTTACTTTATATATATATTTATATTTATATATATATATATGTCTATATATATATATATATATATATATATATATGCTAAGGTTTAACGATTTGAAATCTTACTTAAAAAAGTAATTACTTTATAATATTACACATACATATACATTTACATAATATTCTTTTTCGTTTTATTTTTTCATATTTCATAACTAATTTAAGTTAATGCACAAATTATGAAAAAAAGTTAAAAATACAAATTATGATAATGAAATGAAATTGAAAAATTAATTATGTTTTATACAATTTAGTGAATTACAAGAAAAAAAAAAAATATTTAGTTATAGTCATATATATAATGTAGTCGTTTTATATAGCAAAAGAAAAAAATATCGAACGGGACGCAACAAAAATCCGTATATATTTATTCCATAACCAATGCCGTTCGGGGAAATTTTGTGTTGATCTCTTCAATATGCGCTTCATGTTTTATGTTATACGATTATTATTATTGTTATTGTTTTTTTTATTATTTATGTATTTTGTTGTTAAAAAAAAAAAGAACAGTTTAAATCATTTATTAATATAATTAGTTTTAAATATTTTTGAGATCATTTTGTTTTTACATTTTATATATAGATTTCTTATTATAATCGTTATTGAAAGGAATGAACAGGAAAGGACAGGAAAGCAAAGCAAGGGAAAGGAAAAAAATGTAAATCTCGTGCCTATTTCTTTGTTGAGACAACGAGTTGAGAAGAAACAAAAATGGAAATCGGGATGTAAATACAATTGTTTTCATTTTCTTGTTGTTGTTGTTATTTGTCAAAATGTTAAATATAAATTATTTTCTTTCGCAATTCGTTTGAATAGTCGTTGAACATTGAATAAAGCATTTTAAATTTCGTCTACTTTGCCGATATTTATTCACGAGTAAATAAACGAAGTTAATTAAAGCTTAACTTAAATATTTTTGTTTTGCAAATTTTCAAAGAAATGTACATCAAAATTTAGAATAATCAGGGTACCCATATCGAAAGGAATCCTCGCCCGTTCGTTTGAGCACATTTACTATGTACATATATCCATGTACAGGCTAATTATTATTATTATTATTATTATTATTATTATTATTTAAAAAAGTCTCTAAAGAGATCGAAATGATGATACGACTTAATTAATTATTGAGTGCCGGGACCACATGCTTGGCAAAGTAATACCATTTTCGTTTTACATGAATCGTTTAAGTTGCTCATGCTCAAGTTGCTTTTGCTATCCCTTTCAACTTATAACAACTGGCTTTAATAAATAGTTCGAAGATCGATATATATGGTATGCCGCGGATTTTAGATGAAAATACCTTACACCGTTCAAGTCACTAAAGATTTTTGCTTAATGGATTAAATAAGGAACGTATTTATTAAGTTTCAGGTTTTCATTTAATTTTTGTACATGAGCGGCCGAACAGGCGAACGGACGATCACGATTTTAATTGAATTGAAGCGAAATTTTACGTTTGTCAAGAATATTTACACTTTCGGATGGGCGGAGTTGGATATTATATTGCATTTTTTTTTTGTTTTTTTTTTTTTGTTTTTTTAGCGAAACGCTTTTCAAATCTTCAAAAGATTTGCTGAAAATAATAATAAATAATTCTGAGATGTTGCGCATGCTACTTTTTCGTAAAGCTTTATAAAATTGCATAAAATTTTTCAAAACTTTTCAAAAGTTTTTAAATTAATCTCTTTGAATATGAAATATAATTAACTCATTTTTAATTGCACTCTCATCAAAGTACAGATAGAAAAATAGCTTGAAAATTTCTATAAGAAATTTCTAAAACTTATTTTTTAAATTTTTGGCTATTTTTGTGAGCAGATTTCGGAACACACCAACCAATTCATTAGTAGGGAAAAATTTTCTAAAATCTTTATCAATATTAATAAGCATATGAAACATGTTTTCATATGAAATTCCTTTTATGAAAATTATCTGTCCTAGAAGCTTTTATTACGAAAATATTTTAGAAATCTTCTCTCTCTCTCTCTCAAGCCTTCAATGAATGCCATTCCGCCTATGATGTTCAAATATATTCTATTTTGAAAACTTTTTTTAAATCATTTTCTTCTTCCTTCTGATCTTTGCTTGGAAATGCCAAATTTTTGATAAACGAAACTTTTTAAACCTCAAAAAAACTTTTCAATATACTCACTTGTAGTGGCACATGTTTGAAAATTGTTTTAGTTCTCTACTAAACCTAACAGTTTTCCTCCCTGCAAATCAATTTAAGTGGACACATATATAGTCCTTCGATCTGAATACCCATAGCAGAGGCATTTTAAGAACAATAAAATTTTTAAAATTTGTTTTTAACGAAATTATTTTAAAACGTGTATTGAAAAGTAGACTTTTCCTGATATAACTTTTAAACGATATTTTTCCTCAAGTCGAAATCACGAAAATTTCCCCATCTTTTTAATTACGTTCACAAACATTACCCGCGATATTAGACGACAAGTCTCTGTCACCGTTATTGATCAAAACTGTATTACCGCCTATTATGTTACTATGTGAAATAACATTACTCCCGCCAACCATTGCAGAGTTACTCGCTTCGCCTGTGACATTTACCGCAGCTGCTGCGGCCATGGCGGCGGCCGCTGCCGCCGCTGAACTTAAATTAAGGGCCGCATTATCAGCAGCTACTGTATACTCTTGCGCTGACAATTTTAGAAATTGCTCATAAGCACTTAAACGTGGTGCTGGCAATCCCTCATTTACTGTACCTGCCGTTAACGTGTTGACTTCTTGGCTTATATGACATGTATTTGTATTCGGATGATAAATTTTTCCTGCCGTTGTGGCCGTGTGATATGATGGCGGCGGTGGACGTGCTTCCGCATTCAGAGAGGGTAAATCACCGACGGCGTTGCCGTTGTTATTATTATTATTATTATTATTATTATTATTGTTGTTAGAAAGTTGACAGGCAGCCA